ACAATTGTTAACTGTAGTAATTTTTATTTTTATATAGCACCTAAAATGTTCTGGATACTTTATAGACATAGAATACGACAGATTCCTGCTTTCTGCTAGCTGAACCTCGTTCCCTTTCATTAGATCTTCAATTGTGTGATTAAAAGTAACAAATGGCTTGTAATGAGGAGTGTAATACCATGACAGTGCTGAATTCAGTTCTGGACTCTTCTGATTCTTGTTGACTTGGGGCCAAAGTGTCTCAGGTCCCCATCAGTTACACATGTGCTTAACTTTATGTATATGAGCAGTAAAACTGGTCTCAATGGGACTACTCACATGTAATTGAATACATGCACAATAGGTTGCAGGATTGGAGGCTTTGATTGTAAGCTCTTTTGGCCAGGAAATGGCTGTTACTATATGCCTGTACAGCGCCTAGCAAAACAGGGCTTTGATCTCAGTTGTGTCCTTTTTGCACTATTTAACATGCATAATAATTAGCAGAACTAGTATGATTTTACAGATACAATTAGAAGTCATCAGTTTGCTGTTAAACAAACGGACATTAACAATTTCAGGAGTCAAAAAGCTATTGCTTTAAAAGACTGTGAATAAGCCTGAAATATTAATTTCCACTTACACGCTGCATAGACAGGACAGAGAACAGGGGGTCTCTGTTAGTGATTGACATCCAACCTTTTCAATGCTTTAACAAGTGACAGACAGCTAAAAATCATACTACATCAAGATGTATGCACATATCTTGAATACTGCATACATATGTCATACCCTCATCTCAAAAAAGATATACTGGCATTAGAAAAGGTTCAGAAAAGGGCAACTAAAATGATTAGGGGTTTGGAACGGGTCCTATATGAGGAGACATTGAAGAGGCCAGGACTTTTCAGCTTGGAAAAGGGGAGACTTAGGGGGGATATGATAGAGGTATAGAAAATCATGAGTGGTGTGGAGAAAGTGAATAAGGAAAAATTATTTACTTGTTCCCATAAGAACTAGGGGGCACCAAATGAAATTAATGGGCAGCAGGTTTAAAACGAATAAAAGGAAGTTCTTCTTCACACAGCGCACAGTCAACCTGTGGAACTCCTTGCCTGAGGAGTTGTGAAGGCTAGGACTATAACAGGGTTTAAAAGAGAACTGGATAAATTCATGGAGGTTAAGTCCATTAATGGCAATTAGCCAGGATGGGGTAAGGAATGGTGTCTCTAACTTCTGTTTGTCAGAGGCTGGAGATGGATGGCAGGAGAGAGATCACTTGATCATTACCTGTTAGGTTCACTCCCTCTGGGGCACCTGGCATTGGCCACTGTTGGTAGATAGGATACTGGGCTGGATGGACCTTTGACTCAGTATGGCCATTCTCATGTTCTTATGCTTCTGTGCTTAAAAACCCCCACAACCAAAAAGCTGATCCACTGACTTCTCATAAACAAATGATCAAACTGGAGATATTTTTTCCCCCACATAAAAGCCTGCTTGCAATTGTCAGGTTCTGCAAAAGCAGGGCTGAGTGCGGTGTTTTTTACTCTAATAACTATTTATGACAGATTTACAAAGTCAGATATCAAGATATTGCAGAAGAGGGCTGGGGTTGGAGGTGTGAATACTAGGCCTCAGTGCAAGTCTTGAAGAACCAGTGATCTAGAAATGCAAATGAACTGTGCATTCTTTTTCAGGTGCTGTCCGCTTGCTCTGCTGGCTTTTATATTTTCTTCACTGCTACTTTGTATAAAAGTTACATGGTTGATAAATCCTTGACTAGTATCAAATCAACAATACTAGTCTGTGCACGTGAAACCTAGACTTTACTCTTCTTTAGAAAGTCTGATCTACTCTATGCACCAGTGAAAGTCAGACCTACAGTAAATGGGCCCGATGCTGCTCTCAAATTAGTGTAAATCAAGAGTAAGCTCCATTCAATGGAGTTCCACAAGTGTAAAACTAGAGTAAATGGGAATAGAATCAGGCCCAATATCTTTTATTTACTTAAAAACAGGTTTGTTTCTAGCGTAATCGTTTAAGTAGTTCTCAGAAATCCCACCTGGGGAATTTACTCCTCAAAAGCTCCAATCAGATTCCTTTCTATTAGAGTATTGCAAGCTTTTAAAAAAAATGTGTAAAGCGTTTTTATGTTCAAGAAGGCTCCTGTCTGATATAATAGTCTTAAAAACAGCTATAAAAGTAAAACTGTGCTTAAGGCAGAAGAAAATCCAGTGACACTGCCATCTTCTCTCGGTGATCTACCTCGATAGCTTTCTATTTTCTACAGCCAAAAATACTACATGAGATGTTACTCATGGGAGGCAGAGCAGCTAAATCACATTTGACTCACAGAACTAATATAGCTGTTAAACCACAAGTAAAGTTACAAATAAGAGCTGAAATCTCTCTCGCTATTATTTAGTCATCCTCAGAGGAGAACAATAACCAACCCAGACTCAACTGAACCTTGTACTTAAATTTCAGTGATTCCTGTTGGTATGAATATTTTGGGATGAATAAGTCTGTGTGTTAGGGTTTTGGTTTGATATTTAACGTTACATAATTCCAAAACTAGGCTTTTGAGTTAATATGTAATGAAGCTGAATGGGTACCAGATTCTACTTGTCCTTATTAAACCTTGTCACAAAGAAAAGAATAAAATGCATTCAATTCTTATTTCACTTTATTAAAGGACTTGTCAATAGAAAATAAAATGGGCCTATACAGTGGTATGTTTATTTTAAAGAGAGGGAAATAAACACACATCACAATGAAATAAGAAGCAATGTTGTCAAATATACTGACTGAAACATACCCAACAGAGGCAGAGAAATCAAAACAAAAATGGGGGATTTGGCCAGCTTCATGGGCACATTGATGTCCTGATGATTGTGGTATATGTTTTTGTGGGCTATATTAGGGGCATCCTTATATTTAAATTTAAATTCTATTAGGGATATTTACCTTATGTTATTTAATTTTGTGCAGTTTCTACATTTTGGATAGGTGCCACATCAAACAAAAATGCTATGGATTTGCCCATTTTTGCTGAAAAGGAGCCCAGGTAGCTGAAAAAATTACCAGAAATAGCTATCGGCCTCTGATAACCCCATCTTCGCACCTCATCATCACCAGTTTCAGAAAGCTTAGCAAAATCATCCACCTCTCACATCATAGGAAGCCCATAAATCTGGCAATATGGATAAAAACATTACTAAACCTCTCCATCTGTTTATATATCTTTTACATCCTAGGAGTTGGAGAAATCAGCTCCCCAAACTAGCACTATTATGTACAAATCCTGTAATTGTATTGGAGTTAGAATTGTATAACTCTCCTCCCACCCACTCCCTCCAGCTTCTTGGCGATTCTTATTTGTGACCAATGTTCATTACCACCTTTGTCCTTTTATGATCCTTTAAGCACACTCATTTTCTTACTTACATTTCTCTTGAACTTCCAATAAAAACTGGATATACACATGTACCTTGGGATGAATGGACCACGGAAACAAAACTATCCCCTCACAACCATTATAATCATATGTCCTTGGTGTGTGTATTATCTTGGCCTGCACATCTGGTAAAATGAGCTGGCATGCAAAAAGTGCATATACAACATCAATACATTATTTGTATAGGATTATGCCCATGAAGTTATTGTTTCATGGCAGATTATAATAGCTACATGAAAATACACACAAGCTATAGTATGTAGCTTAAACTGTAGTACATCAGGTGCTCCATTTTGTCATACAACTCTTCAATAGCCGCAGAGCTATCAGAGTAGAGATATCTCCCTGGTAAGGCCCTGGGTATCATCCTTCACAATGCTAGTGTGTTTTTCGAACACTGTTTCTCTGGTGCCACCATATATTTGGTAAAAATTCTCTTTAGGGAGGTTGTGTTGGCTGCTATTGGATTTTTATGAGATTTCATTTTAGATTTTATGATTTCCAGCTGGGGAGAAGGGCCACCCATGCAATCTCCAGACCTGAATTTTGCCCTGGCTTTGATCTGGGTGTTCACCACCTGTGGTTCATTCTGTCCAATCTGGATCTTTTAGAATCACAAGATGCAAAATAAATGTTGTTTCACAGACACAGGGGCCCTGAGGACGGCTAGCTCATTAGCAGGGACCACTGTTCTAAGGACTAAAATGTTGCCACTTGAAGGCAGCCAGCCAGTTTCCTTTATCATGATTCCTACAGAGTTGTTGCTTAGCTTAGGTTTTTGGAAGACTTCAGTATAAATCAGTAAGTTACCCTGGAATGTCTGTTTTACCCTGATGAGGAAGAGAAAGACTCACGATTCACGTGTGGCGCAGTAAAGTGTGGAACCTTTTCCATCTTGAATTAGCCCCTCTTGCTGGCTCTCTGCTGCACTTAATGTGTGGTTGTCATCCATGTATGCACAGCAGCTCCCTACAGCCCATCCCTCTGAAAACACTGGTGGGTAGCTGGGACGAAGAGGAACCAGCCATAGCCCGCGCGATGAAAGTAATGACTTGTAATTACAAAAAGCTGTTGGGGCAGATCAGGCAGTGACCCAATTAACAGGGAAGCTCTATTTATTTATTTAACCATAATCATAATATGACAGCACTTCAACAACATGAATTAATTTAGTCTCACAATACTCATTGTGGCCAGGTAGGGATGTATTATCGTCTCCATTTTATAGATGGGGAAACTGAGGTACAGAGCAATTACGTGACTGACCATGGTCACATAAGAAGCTTGTGGCAGGCCTTCAGAACTGAACCACAAGTACCCTCCTTCCTCTTATGAAGTGAGCCAGTTTTCAGATCTCTAATGTGTGCACTTGCCTTGTAAAAATATTTTTATTTTTATTTATTTTGGATAGGGCGTAACAGTCACTGGCTTGACTGCTGTTACTGCTTCTTGATGTGCCAAATTACCTTTAGAGATGGCTCAGCACTTTTGAGAACCTAGCCTTTTATGGGGTTCAACACAAGGCAATTACATGCCATGAAATACCATAAATTAAACGAGATTTTATCATGTATGTAATTATTTATTGAGCTGAGAATCCATAGAAGGTAAACAAATGTTTACAATATCATACAGTAAGCATTTCCAGGGCTTAATAAAAATGATTGTCACTCACCGTGCTTCACAAAAAAATTTCTTTTAATGAATAAATAATTTGATGAAATCAAAAAATATTTACAATATAGACAAATGAAAAAAGCTTTGGATATATTAATCTGAGCATCCTGTATTTTGCATTTTCTAACTGTATTTCTATCAAGACTGCCTCTGAAATGATACAAACTGGACAGAAACTGCAACTCAACAAAGTTAATGTGGTTTGTTACATGTGTATCCATTAGTTCAAATAAGCTACATATGCTTCATTTATTATGCATGTGTTAGAATACAAATATAACTAAAATCATATATTATCAGAATGTTAGACAGCATTCTCCACAAAACAGAAATGTACACGAGGCTGTGACAATAACAGAGGATCACAGGCAACAAAATATAACAGAAAAATACAAATTCCTTCATCAGAATATAATTGTGCTGTTTAATTTACCAGATGACTATGCTGCTCTATCAAACTGATGGTTTTGCATAAATGCAGCATCCAACAACCACCATGTGTTTGTATGTGTGTCAAGCAGCGGCATTACAGTGGAAATTGGGCAGTGCAAGCAGTTTTTATAAACACTTTCTCCAGCTCTTAAAAAGAGCGAATTATACAGAGCAATAGAAGCATAACACTGAGAAGTCTTCATCTCATATACACAAATATCATGAAACAACTTGCTTTGTTTGTGGCGGTGAGAGGAGCTTTATCACTGCTGTTTGTGCAATCACCCAGAATTCAAGTATTCCAAAGCCACTTCATAGCAGAATTTGTATTGATCCTGAAAAATCAACAGAAACAACCCCCCACAAAGTTATTCACAGAAGAAATTTAATTAAGGACTTCAGTATTTCTGTTCTATTAAAATTATTTACTATCAGTCAGTGTGAATGAGTTTGCAAAAGCAATTTGTATTTAGATAAGAAAAGCATCACGCTAATAATTCAATAGTACATACAGTAACTGACATTGTTGATCATACAATAACAATACTATATTTAGCTATGCAAACATCTCTATAATGGGACATTTGGAAACCAGTAAACAAACTGACTTGTAAATCTTTAGTAACCTGTCAAAAAACTCATGCCCAGTAGATATTGGAATTCCTTTGCCGTAACATTGATGTTAAAATAGGCTTGGTTACTACTATTTTCCAGTTCATAAATTTCATTTTATTTTTGTCTATGAACTCAATCAGTTTCTTTATTACTCCTCCTCTACACCTAATTCAAAATCCCCACAAGCCCACACTCCAGTTATTTTTCCTCTCACACTAGAGCACATACATCAGGTATTGAGTTTTACTGTCACATACGGGGTATTTTCAGCTACCAAACTGTCTTTGCACACATGCCTGTGTTTATACTGAAGTGGGGCCATCTGGAACTAGGGGAGCAATCCAGCACAATCCCTGAAGAAGCACCCTGGTGCAGGAGCGGCTAGTTATATGGGCCCGTGGTGCCCATGCTCCAGGAATATGCAGGGCCTGGGGGCCCAGCTCCACCAATGTTCAGGGTCAGGTCTCTTCCCTGGCCCCGCCTCCCCCCTCCACGTGCCTCCCCCAGAGAGTCTCCCGCCCCCGCCTTCCGCCCCAGGGCAATTTAAAAAGGCCGGGGGGGCCCCGGCTGCCGTCGCCACCACTGGCAGTGCAGCGGGGTTAAGGCGGCTTCCTGCCTGGCCTCGCTCTGGGCTGCTCCTGGAAGTGGCTGGAATGGCCCTACGGTCCCGGGAAAGAGGGAGTGTCTCCATTCTGAGCGCTGACTTTGTAGGTCCCATTGGCTGGGAACTGTGGCCAATAGCTGCGGGGGCGGTGTCTGCAGGCAGCAGTGCATGAAATCCCCCTGCCCCCTCCCCCGCAGAAGCTGCTGCCAGAGGGGTTTGCGGGTAGCTTTCGGGAGCCACCTGAGGTAAGCGCTGCACCCCTCACCCTCACCTCTCCCGCACCCCGAACCCCTGCCCCAGCCCAGGGCCTGCACTATGCACCCAAATTCCCTCCCAGAGCCTTAGGCAGGTGTGTGTGCGCGTGGGGGGCACCACCAAAAATGATACAAACCTGCCACTCCTGCCCTGGTGAGCAAATGGTGTGTGCATGTCACAGAGGTGGAGGAAGAGATAGGACCACTTTGCACTTCCCTTTTGCACCTCCAGGGGCACAGAGGGACTGCAAAGGCCTGGCTCTTATACCTCCCTGCTTGCTGCTCATCCACATATGGGCAAGGCACAATCTAGTCTTCTGAGCAGTTGTACAAGGCGTGGCAGGTAACTCTGAGGGTTCTGTGTTTTGTGTCCACTTCTTTTTATGTTTCTGCTGATCAGTGACTTTATTTTGTAAAATGATAAACATTTAAATGTAACAAAAAGCTGATGAGAACATGGCTGTTATTCCATTAAATCTAAGTGTTAGCTGTTCTGATTTCCAAAAATTAAGTTTCAATGTACCGCCAACTAGATTATCATTTTCTATCAATGGAGTAAGCACTGCCTCTATCATAAGCACTTTAATTAAGTTATAAAACGTGACAGTAATAATGACATAGCTAGCTGGCTGACAGCACTCAGCCTTTACCTTTATGCTGAACACCATAAGTAGGTAGGATATGATTATACTTCAGCAATATTCTTCTTTTGCCTGAAGCAAACATTTGAAGGGATTCTGTCTATTGTCCACTCAAGTCACATGTTAATTATTCAACATGTACCTGAATGATTTCAATAGCTACTTTTGAATCAGAAGAAGAAAAAAAGCCAACAGCAATTGTTAAAACAAAGAGATGCATTTTCCTGCAGCCTTCATTTTGCAGCTGCCACTTTAAAAGTTAAGGAACAAAGTTGTTTGAACTTAAACCGCCACGGCTGTGAGCGAGTGTACTGAAGGCTTTAAGATCCTGTAGGGTCACATAAACTGTGGTGTATTTGGATCTCTTCTGAACGAGGAAAAAAACCCAGAAATATGGGGTAAATTATATCTTTACTATTTTTATTGCATATGTATAGGTGACTAAATCACAGTCATGTTATCATTATGGAACACACATTGGGACAATGATCAACCAGCCAGCCATTCTCATTTCTTCCAAGCTCATTTCATAGTGATTTACTGATTTAGCAGAATAACTGACATTTCCAGTAAATGCAAGCCCTAGATAACTGCCTTATAGAATAGACATTATTGTTCCCCCATGCTCACTGCTGTGTGTCCTTTGCACATTTTACTATTTGTTTGATGATAAATATTAAAAACATTTTTATGTTACCTAGCTTCAGAGAGGAATATTTATATGGAGCACATATTGGTAGACCCAGTAATGTTTATTATGAAACTCGTTGACATGCTTCAGTAAAGATACCCTAGTGCTAAATGTTACTTGTATATTATGACTATAGAATTTCATGAATTTTCTGTTTTTTAGATGGATGTGTCACTCATATTTTTGTACTTGGAAGGGTTCAATGAAATTAGGAGATGAACCTGTAAATCCGCACCACAAAGAATATCCTAAATCCAGTGAGAAAATGTGTAACCATATTTACACAGCAATCCTGGAACTCCTCTCATGAAACACTGTAGCACTAACAATCCCGTGCATTTATAGATTTGATATTCTTTGAAGAATGGCAATAACTTTACAAAGGTGGGTAAGTGTTAATATCCTTATTTTACAGATGGGGAAACTGAGGAAAAGAACTTTTCACTCCTTAAAAGTCACAAAGCAAATAGTCAGTGGCCACATCAGGAAGAGAACCCAGATCTCCTGACACTAAGTCGCTGCTTTCCACCACTACACAATGCTGGTCCTCATGCACATTTTCAAACCAACTCATTTGAATTGTTGCCATTTATTAAACTATATGCTCCTGTAGAGAACTGGACTGGGCCTCAGGAGACTGGCGATCTATTCCTGGCTCTGCTGGGTCACCTTGAGCACCTTCACCACTCTGTGCCTCAGTTTCCTCATGTGTAAAATGGAGCTAATGAAGCTGACCTTTCTAAAGTGTTCTGAGATGGACTGAGGAAAAGCACTGTAGAAGAGGTAGGCATTATTATTATTATACATATTTGTTTTAAAAAAGCTCGTATTTGATTTAAAATATTTGCTATTCAGTAAAACTAAAATAAAATAAAAAAGGTGTGGAGCCCAATGTGGTGGTCCATTCTCTGGCTGAGACATCTGCTCCTGAAGGCCCATCCCAGACTGCAATTTATAGCTAGCATTTTCTACAACTGTATATTTCTACCCCATTTTATTTTTATTCCTGTGAAATAAATGAATCAGAGATCACTGAGATCCATGAAAAGAGAAAAGGAGTACTTGTGGCACCTTAGAGGCTAACAAATTTATTTGAGCATGAGCTTTCGTGACCTTATGCTCAAATAAATTTGTTAGTCTCTAAGGTGCCACAAGTACTCCTTTTCCTTTTGAGAATACAGACTAACACGGTTGCTACTCTGAAACCTGAGATCCATGAATTTATCCACAGGTGATGCACGGGGGGACATGCGGGGTCACATGATCTGCCTAGGCTGGGAGTTGGGCTGAGCACAGCCCTGGGGGACGTGCTAGGGAAAGGCACCGACATCATGCGCTCCCACTGAGCTCCGCTAGGTGGTGCCTGGAGCAGGGAAGTGACATCAGGCTGGTAGTAGGCTCAACAGTGGAGCCCGCTTGGGTGTGTGCAAGGCTATAGATGGAGCTTGGGGCAATGAAGGAGGGAGGCAGCAGGAGCAGTGAGGGGATGGGACGGTGGGGAGTCCATGGCAGACAGTGGGGGCCAGGGGCAATGAGGGATGGGTGGGGAGCCTGGGGAGGCTGCAGGGGGATAGGGAGGTGGGTGGCGAGCCCGGGGGAGGCATTGGGGGCCAGGGTGATGGGAGATGGATGAGGGGCTCAGTAAAGCGCAGGGGTGGGCGAATTTGTGGGGGGCTAGGGAAGAGGCAGCGGGGCCGTGGGGGATGGGGAGGTGGGTGGGAGCTCAGTAGCGGTCCAAACCAAAGCCACTTCCCAAGAGTGCTGGGATCTGGAGTTCTGAACTGGCCCAATTATAAAAATAAACCTGAGCTGTGATGTTGAAATCGGGCCCTAGATCTGATCTTCCTCATGTTTCTGAGTGGTTTGGATTCTGTGTCCTAGTTATGGGTCCATCTCTAGCTAAAAGTGAACTGTAAAGAGAAAATGGAACTGCAGGCAAGCTCAGAAACATGACTTGAATGTCCCTGCTAACTGGGCTGGGGCATAGGAGATTGATCACAGAAAACTGTTTTAATTTACTTTCCAGATTGTTTTTCAAACCACTGTCTGCCTGCCATTAAATCTGTTTTTCCCAGTTTGCTAATGATCCCCCATTCTATGATTCACCATTCTATGGTACTATAGATTCCAGAATAGACATCATAGCCACCAGGCAGTTTAGCATGAGATTTCTGGTACTTGTGGTGCCCAAGAGAGCCAATGTCTCCTTGTAAACCCAGAAGAGAAAGCGGATTCAAATGGAGAGGAAAAATAATTTTATAAGGTTAAATTAGAACTGATTCCTGACATAATTATTGCGTGCTGATTGGTTTGCAAATATCTCTGTTCTTCAAATTGATATAACACATCAGTGCAATCCAGAGCTTCTTCATGTGTAGCTCTCTTTTAGCACAATCTCCATTGGCTATTACATAGTATCATAAAATATGAACATCTAAAGTAGCTCTAGAAATCAAAACTCTTTTGTCTCTTGAGTACCTGCCCTGAACCCTGCTGCATACCACCAGAACCTTTAAATTGTGTCCCCCGCCCCCCCCCCCCCCGATCAGCAGTTACCAGTCACCTCTGACTTAAACTCACAGAGACCTGAGAACAGCAGGCATGCCAGGTACAAATCCACATCTACACAGACTGAGTGGAAAAGTAGGACATTTCTCTCTACATCTAGCAAATAAAAAATTAGGAGTGTCCTGAGACAGGAGCCAAATGAATGGCCCACTCCCAACATCACGAAAGCTGGAAGGTCCCTCACCTCCAGATGACTGACAGTCTTACATTGCTAGCTTGCCTCCTCAGAGTGGCAGCCTCAAACTCCCTGCTCATCTCATGCCGCTGGCAAGGTGCTGGTTCACCTAAGGACCCAGCTAGATGTCTCTCTCTTACTGATGCCTGGCCTGAGGGAGGGATAGGAATTCACAGCAGTGGAGGTGGGACACCTTGGTAAGTCTGAGGAGAAGGGGTTTCTTCAAAAGAGAGGCAGGGCATACTGGGACTTGCTGCAACCAAAAATATGGACCTGGTCCTACCTCATAGAAGGCAGAAAACCTCCATCTTCCTAGCACATCACCCCTAAGTAGCTTGGCCAACCCACTAGCATTCACTATTCCTCAAGGTGTTCAACACGTGAGGCCAGACTGGGAATGGAGATCTCTCCTAAGGGTACAGGGGTGGAGGGTGTCACAATTCTGTGGGATCTCCCTGCCTCCTCCTTGGGATTTTGGGGTAGAAAAGATGCCCAAACACAGTTCAGTCCCAATTAACCAATCCCCTATTGTCCATAGATTACACAGTTAACTCATACTGGGTTATGATTCCTGAAATTACCCAAATACTACATCTGTCATCGAAGCTAATCTGCTTTCAAAAAGCCAGACTCTAAAAGCAGTGCTTTTAAGGCACCCCGCCATAAAGTACAGTGGCACTGTCCCCCTTAATTCAATAGCCTGTTTCTACAGAGGTTTTGAAGGTCTGAGACCATCACATTGAATTGGGTGGAACTGTACATCTTTCTCCCAATACAAAACTATAAGCAGAACAAAAGAGCCTGCTGATTTAAGCTGTCCTACAGCTCTTGTGTCATAGCCACTAGTGTTTCTGCAATTCTACATCTAAAAGATTCAATAAAACACTCTATAAGAAAATAATTGCACATGGCCCCTTGTTTCCGAACTCCTTTAATCTTTCTATGAGGTAGAGCAACCATAATTAAATGCAATATTCTGGATGTCACACTGAAATTCACGGCTTTGATAAATATTAGGCAATTAAGCTATTTATAAAATATATAATTTGAAAATCTGGCATTTCATTTTACATTATTATTATTTCTGCTGTGCGATGACTGCTCTCCTCATGGATCACACTGCCAGAAAGGCAAATTAATAAAGATGTTCTGTTGAAAGTTTTAAACTATTTCAAAAATTCAAATGAACAGAGACAAAGTCTCCTTGGGAAGAAAGCAGTGTAAAAATACTCTTATAAGTGAAATGATTTCATTATCCCCTTTGAAAACGACTTGCATGCTTTCTCAACAACTCCCACTGAAAATCTTGGAAATCTCCCCAAACCTTATGATAAAAGGGAACATTTTCTATTTAGTGGTGCAGTTAAAAAAGCTCATACCAGAAGGTCCACCATGTTAGGCTTATTATTTCTCAGTGTCTTCACAGCATGGAATACATCAACTGCCCTCTGGTGCCGAAGCATTTCACAAACAATGCTGATTGCACAAAATGTCCCACTGCGGCCACCTCCGTTTCTACAATAAAAGTGATAAAATGGCTCCATTACTCATGACTGTATGTTACTAGTTCTCATACTGTGTCTGAATGTTCTACGAGACGCGCAATGCAAATACTGGTGAACCAATGGCTATTAATGCCTCTGAACTCTAAGAAGGATGCAATTTCTAATTAAAATGAATAGGCTGAATTATCCAACATGTATGCTACAGAATCCATCAGCTTGGAAGCCTGAGGGTAACAGAGTGTTTAAATTTTGCACTAGTCTTTTCTATTAATTCATAAATCTGAAGAACAAAGTAACTATTTGGAAAATAGAATAGAGACAGAGGAGCCTGATTCTCATTCACACTAAGGCTCCGTTCCCTTGCTCTGGCAGTACAAAGGAGCCTTAAAGTGGGGTAAATTACATTTCTGTTCAATTTGAGGCCCCTTTACACTTATATAGCAACCTTAGTGTAACGAGACTCAGACTCAGAAATGCTAAAACATTAAACAGATTTTGGAGTTTGGTTTTGAGCTGGTTACAAGTTTTTCTATTCTAGGTTATGGTGCCTTATTTCTGGACTCAAAGGTTCTCAGGTAACAGTAAAAGAGCCCTGCCCAACTTATAATTTGTATTGATAACTGTACTCTAACATAGCCATTAGGTGGTGCTGCAATATCCCACTACATTTACCTGTACCTTGTGGCATTAGGTACAGGCATTACACTCACTGCATGGGAATGAGTGCTTTTACAACTGTATGTTCCCCCTTCATCCATAGTTTCAGAAGATGAGAACCCACACTGACTTGCTGACTAAAAGCCAGTCATAAATGTTCATAGGCATGATCAAATATAGTATTTAATAGTGCTTTATCTTCAGCTATTTTTAATCTTCAAGAGAATCTCTTTCCAGAAACCCTATTATTTCTACAACTATTCCAATCAGAGTCTTTAGGCTGCACTTCATTGGAAATAATAAACCTTAATAATTACCAGAGTGAAGACTAGTTAGCTAGCGGGTCTTTCAAACCAGCACTCACAAATGGTTGATTTTCAAAGGAAGCTATGAAATCGCACATCTGTCACATCCAGGCAGTATGAAAAGAATGCTCTCTGCTGCCAAAACATTGGCTGATATTGTGGGACTCTTTGAGAATGTTAATTAAACTAAAGTCATTTAAAAGGATTATGTCAGAGCTTTTTTCTTTTCTCTACTGCCAGGAAGTGACGCGTGCGTGATGTGGTATAACTATTTAATATCATCAGTAACTATAGGGATAACAGTAATTTGCACTTCAAAAGGGCCTTTCAGCTGAGGATCTCAAAACATTAATTAGTTAAACCACACAATACTCCTTTGATGTCAGTATCATTATCCCCATTCTACAGATGGGGAAACTAAAGCACAAAGAGATTGAGTGACTTGTGCAAGGTCAGTGTAAGTGTGCAACAGTAATAAACTTGCAGTTTTTATCTGTAGTTACTAATTTCTATTAAATGTAAACAGAACGGTCAGAAAGTTATTTTCTAATTTAGGCCCCAATTCATGAAAGCACTTAAGGGTGTGCGTAATTCCATCACTAATCAGGGCAGCACTCAAGCCAATGCTTAATTGAACAGGAATGTTTCCTGAATTGCAGCCTCAGTTCATGAGAACTCAATCCTCTGTGAGAGCTGAGGGAAAACAGCACATGGCAGGTTCTAAGTCCTAAGAGAGGAATAGTGGGCAGATTAAGAACTTGTACCTCCACATGGAGCCATGTAAACTTGAGGCCCTCATGCATGTATACATGACCCTCAGGAAAGAGGCTCTCAGATTTCTCCCAAAGAACATGAATGGAAAACCCAACTTCCCACAAATGAAAAACCTTCATGAGCTTCCACTGTTTTTCAACGAGGTGCTGTGTAATTCAATTCCAAATTATGGGATAAATTACAAGGATGCCTCTTACCTTCATGCAAATCCTTTAAAACCCAAAGTACAGTAAATATTTATACCACCCCCTTGCTTTCCTACCTTCAAATACTTACAAACAATGTACGACTGTACGTCCTTCTCCTCCATTGTATTCTTCCTGCCATTTCTCCACCTGACGTATTTGTTTCAAGAAAGAACGTTTGGACACTGGAGTATCTCTGTACATGGGCCATCCCAGGAACTGAAACTGCTGCACCATCCGATACCCATCTTGGGGCTGCAAAGATCCGAACAATAAGCAAGAAAAAAGCGAAGGCATTATTTACACTATCCTCAAATGGCATACAATTTAAACTTTCTCATCAAAGTTGTTAAAGGACATCACTGCTTACAAATTACCAAAGTAATTTCAGCTGCCCTTGAGAGTTATGGCTTTTAATCTCCAAAAGAGTTATTAAGCACACAATGTTTTAAGTAGCAGGATATACAAAGAGACTAGAGCAGAACAATGCTACAGCTACAAGAGTCAAGTAAATGATGATTTAATATGATAGTAGGCACTCGATAGCAAAGTGAAAGTCACAATACAATTTCAATTATAACCTCTGGTTTTTCACATGCTCATAACTTTCAGCTTTTTGGAAGAAATGTCCTGTTTCTTTCATTTTAAAAAGAAAGTTTGAGCAAAATCTTTCAAGCCATTCTGAGGAAAGCAGGAGTGAAAAAAATAAACATGTTTAAAAACAAATCTAAATGCACTTTATTAACTGGGCTATGCACAAACTCTCAAGAGAAATAGTTCTGAAGAGAGGCTTTACTATATCAATTAATGCATGGAACAAAAACCCAGAATGTTTACATGACAATGTTGTTGTTATTGCTGTTACACAGTAGTAATAGAGAGGGTGACAGATTAACAAAAGAAGGGACTACAGCAGAGCTGAGGCAGAGTAAATTTTGATTGTCATAGAATCACAGAAGTGTAGTACTGGAAGGGACATCAATAGGTCACCAAGTTCAGTCCCCTGCACTCAAGGCTTATATGGGATTTGCCTGCTTTCTGTCAAAATTTGGAACCTATTGCACCCCTGGCTGGTCCTTTCCATCTGACTGCCCCTCCCCTCAAAATAGGATTAATATTGATCAGCGATTATTAAATCACACATCCTATTAACATTTCATGGGTTCTTTGATTTTACTCATGAAAAATCACTGGGGACTTCAAGGCCCTAGAAATCTGAAAGAATGGGAAGTGAAGGCTTATTCACTGGCTCTCTGGACTGGGAAGTAGGGCCCCAGGTACCTCTTTGGCTCTTTCCTCTCTTGTTGCGGGAGCAGGTCACAGGACTTGTCTTTGCTTGTCCTGTGGAGGACTGGCCCTCAGTGCAATCCATGACCTCACTGACCGACTAGGGAGTGCTGCCCATTCTTTCCAATGTCTCCTCAGTTTTGGGAGGAAGTGCCAAGTCCATTTTGCTGGGCCCTCTTTGCCTGGATGGGATGGAATGGGATGCCTGATCTGCTTCATGTCTCTCTCAACCTGGCTTAAGTGGATGTCTGCTGGCTTCAGGAGGTATGGTGAAGTATATTATCACACCACATTAGTATCTTTATAAAGTGCTCACTTCTTTGAAACGCACGTATGTTAAAAGGTGCACTTAAAGGACTGTGCACTTCATAGAGATCCCGGTACAGTATTTACAAGAAGCAAACCTCTCTCTCAAAGAAGTGGTATTGGTGCATTTTGCCTTTTTTTCTATTTAAAGCGCCAGGACATTCAGTGCAGATTATGATAAGGCTGAACTCTTCAAGTACAAGTGTAAAAAAATGCAGATGTTAAAGGCTTCCATTTTCAAAAATGACCTAGTGAGTTCTGGGGGCCCAACTTGAGGCACGAGTTCTGAGGGCCCAACTTGTTTTTCAGGGTTAGGTGCTCAATGCTTTCTGGCAATTACATCCCTTTAAGATGTTTAAAGTTGGGAACTTCAAAGTTAAGGTACCCCAAATCACAACTCATTTTTGAAAATTTAGGCCATGATTCTTGCATCAAAGTAATGTTGCTCATAAAGCCCCTGGTTTTTATTTTTTGTTACATTTATTCAATAAACTAACACAATATATTTTAAAACATAAACTGAATTATGCACAACAAAATATGCAACGTGGGCTAACTGCTGTAACAACATTAACTTCTGCAATTCCTGGTTAACAGTACAATCTTAATGCTGTATTTTTCTCATGTGAATGTAATAAACATAACAAAGGCACATGGTAGAAAAATGTCTTTATTCTGATTACATATACATAGCCTTATTCTGATTCTATGTATGAACCATATATCTATAAGCTTGTTCTCAGACTTCGGAGTGTGAGGTGCTTTTGCATGTTTAACCTTTACTTTTTGTTTAATCTTTACTTTTATAACCTCAGTAAGGTTTGCTCATTACCTTCAATTTTACACACATTATTATTATACAGATATACACACATTTATTTTATTAATATATAGTCCTGATTAAAACTAACTGGATATTTGGAGGAAAGATTTCTTAGTTAACATTTCCTCCCTGTCAATCGAAATGGTTAAGTTTAAAAAAAAGAGAGAAACTGAATAAGGTTCTTACTCTTGCTGCATTATAAATTCGGAATATCCGGCTGATTATGTCTTCTTCTAAATCAGCTGATACAAATTCCACCTGAATGGGACCATGTCGGTGCACCCCATTTTCTGGCCAGTACTGGGGACACAACTACAGGAGATCAAAATCACAGACAAGCACAGTTATTTATAAGAACATTGATATCCTGGAACATCCCTGGAGAATGCATTTTTCTTGTCTTTTAATATGGATCATTTCATTTAATTTTTTCTCTTTTTCAAGTGTTACTAAAATTCTCACACACATTATTATAAAATTGTAGTTTCCCAATCTCCGGGCCAGTTTTTTCAGTATTCCAACTTTACTTTTGCAGAACAAATTTAACCAAATAAATTCTTAAGTAACTGCACCTCATATGGCTCATTGCTGTATTCTTAACTCTTTGGTGTTTGGAGTCACACATTTCTGACACTCAACATCAATTAAGTGTTCAGATATGATGGGATGTGGGGATGCTGTTGAACGACATCCCATTTAGAGTGTGCTGTGAACAGAGGACCAAAGGCCTGATATCTTAAAGTGTTCTAAGTGTGTTGATACCAGTTCATAACCGCAGTGCAATGTGTTATTGCTGTTATAAAAGTAGAGCTATTCTCAAAACTCCAGTGCCTAAATTCTGTGCTCAGTTTAGCTCCAGACTAGTGAACTGGCTAAAATCAGCACTGCTTGAAATTTTCAGTGACCAGTCAGTCTTACATTTGTGAATGCCACTTTACAGTAGAAAATATGACCTAGAGATCACAGAAGAATATGAATATGTATCTTGAACAGTTTAAGTGTCCAATAAAAAATTTATGGCTTAATCCTGAAATTAATCACCTGACTCTTGGTCTTCTACCCCTAATACTTTAAAGATTAATTCAACACTTTGATGGGGATTCTCAGAATTGCCCTCTATACAGTGTGTTCACTTTCTGGGATATTTAGGTTTGCAGTGTTGTTGTGGCTGTCCTGGTCCCAGGACATTAGAGAGACAAGGTGATATCTTTTATTGGACCAACTTCTGTTGGGGAAAGAGACACTTTTTCAAGCTTACCGAAGAAGAGCTCTGTATAAGCTCAAAAGATTTTCTTTCACGAACAGAAATTGGTCCAATAAAAGATACTACCTCACCTACCAGGGATACCTATAGCAGTTCATGGCCAGGCATGCAGCAAAATTAAGTATGAGAATGAGCAAACTAACGCTTGCTTGCAGGAGCATTGATCTCATATTTTAAAACTTCATTTTATTCAAAAAAGTAGCAGTGCCCTTCATTCTGTTGCAGGCGATCCACAGCTGAGCTGACAAATCAGACATGCTACAGCTGTTGTTTTGCACTTCTTTATAACACTCATCCCTCAACAGAGCCACTCACAAATTACTGCATTTTACGAAAATGTGGCCATTTAAAACAGAGTAAAAATAGGACAAAGTCTGATTTGCATATCAGTTCAATTTAACAAATTAAAAACAAAAAAAATCCAATTAGGAAAATGTATTTTCTTTTTTAAAAACACTCTACATTCACAGCTCACACTGATGAGCAAATTACTTTTAGACTCTGCTCTGAATCTTAATCATGTTTTCATTATGAAATACACTTATCTGTATTGAGTAACAAAATACAATGAACATAATGTAGGGTTTCCAACATGCTGTACAACTCACTGTAAGTCCTTCCATTATGTAGTAATACCATTCCAATGGCTTTTTGAAAAATACTTAAAAATCATATAAAGGCTAAGATGTTTGGCACAGCAGTTGTAGGAATCCATGATTTTCAAATATGTAGGACATTTGGTTTGAGGGTTTTTTTGTGAATGTGAGTGGTTGGATGTATGTGATGTATCAACTTCTTTAGGGTAGATGTTTAGGGTTTGATTTCTCAGGAAGGCATGGAATTCCCCCTAAACTGGAGTATATATACAGCAGCTGCAGCAGATCCACATGGCTACCATGTAGCAGCCATGGTCCTTCATAAAATGGACTATCTTGAATGGTTACTTGCAAATCTTCCTTTGACAAGAATCAGTATGAGAAGATTTAGACTTCTCAAATCTCTCCAAATTGCATCTTCCAACTTCATTTGTGGTTGGCCCCATATCTACTTGCTTCGACTTCAGCTCTACAAACTTTCTATAAAAGCATACCTTTTTCTGCATGCTGGACATGACCCCACCACTGCAATTGTCCTGTTCTCAACTGGGGTAAGACTGCAACTTCCTGGGATTGTCTACATATCTCTTCATTTGTGACAAAACCATCTCAACATATGTTAATAATGTGCCGTAACTTTTGTCACTAAAACTATTTATTTTCCCCTCCTATGTTTTATTTTTAATGGCCATGATCCTGCTCCACATAGTAGGGCTGTCATCACTATCATGGTGAACACTCGTATCTTAGATGTCACAGAGATATCCTGCCACACAGAGGCCTTTGAAGATTCTGAAATGCCACTGATGCAAGATCGACATGTGAATTCTTTGGTTATACAACCTCCTGCTCTCAACCAACTAGCCAGATAGATGAAACCATTTACCCATTCAATGTCATTGCCATCTACACACAGGCCATTCACTTCCATTTTACAGGAAGCATGCATAACTTTGGTTTTATCACCATTGATCTTAAGTCCCACAGATTTTGCAATTTTTTTGTAGATCTTCCAGCATTAGCTGTAGTTGGCCAGTAGGCATTTCAAGTAAGAAAATATCATTTGCATACTCAAGATCCTAAATTTTGCAACTCTTACTTGGGCCTCAATCAGTTTTGGATTGGAAGAGGGGCTGTATCATCCCTTTTTTCCAAAAGGGAGAGTGATTAGTTTGCTCAGATTATAGGGGAATAATGCTGCTGTCAGTGTCAGGGAAAGTGTTTATGACCATACTACTGAACTGACTGAAATTGGGCCTTAAACCAAAAATGACAGATAACTAATGTGGTTTCTGTACTGGCCAATCTACAATCTATGCTATATATGCTCTGTGAAATGTTACTGAAAAACGCCTAGGGCAACAAAAGACAGTTAACACCATGTTTATAGACCTTGTAGCTGGTTTTGACTCAGTGCACCAATCACCCTTGTGAATAATGACACACCAGGATGGGGTGCCTGAGGACTTAATGTTCAGAGTGGACAAACTACCATGGTACGTTTAGCTGTGTGAGGGTCAATGGCTGTACTACAGGCTGGTTTTCAGCAGAATCAGAAGTGCACCAGGGTTGATTCCTCTCACCTATGTTATTTAATGTTCTAACAGAGTATCTGATGTATGTATTACAGTAATATGTAAATACATTATATAGAAATAAATAAATAAATAACTATTTTGACAATAATTAGTAATAACGCTGAATGATAATGCATGGTTTTCAATAAACCGGCCCTCTTTTCCTTCTTTTTGCTTTTTGAGTTTTGAGATTTATTCCTAATGAAAAGCTTGTCACTTACATTTGAGAAAAAAGTTTAATGAATTGCAAAGACAGGTGTATTACCTGACACATTATATATCCCAATAGCTTTTAATAGTGAGTAAGGCCAATAAATGCCTAAAATAGCCAAACACTATTATACATTCAAAACACAGCCTACAAATTCACAAACTCTGTGTAGCAGTTACTAAAAGTCTGACTCCCTAGAGTGTTTCCTCATTCACGCTGAAAATAACCTCAGACTCATGAATAAAAGTTTTTTCTTTAATTTCTAGACAAGTAAGAATGGTTAGGGATTCAGAAGCTCAGTATTTAAGACAGTGTTTGGAATTTGTAGGCACTTTTTTGAAAGCCCAGGTTGAAAACTTTTATGTTTTTTAAAACAAAATCTTAATGTTAACATGAAATAAATGTGAGCATTTTTCTATGTATGACTTAAACTTGTTAAAAAAGAGATTCTTGAACACATCAGGAATAAATATCAGATGCAGCATACTACAGCATATTAATTTTGACGTTACTTTAACCAAATATTAAAAGCATTTTAGAACATTTACATAGTAGGGTCTTGTTTACTGCATTGCTCCTGTTTAATGCCAGTGTTAAAAAGTAAAGTCAGTGCTTAAGGAAATTGCCATATCAGAAACCCAGAATGGCTCAAGTTCTCTACTTTTTTAAAGAACAGATATATCTTTCTAACGAACAATGAGCAGCTATATTGTAAGCTAATTAAAAATGCCCCATACATTTGCTTCATCTCTGTTCTGGAGAGAGCCCCTCTATGGAGAGACGATAGTCCAGTCTCCATTCCTGTTTAGTTCTTGTCCTCTCCACTGAGGCTGCCACTTACAGATCCAATTTGTGCCAAATGTGATGCTGATTTTTGTGATGGGAATGACTGTCCACTAGTAGAATCATAGAAATCAAGGTTGGAAGGGACCTCAGGAGGTCATTTAGTCCAACCCCCTGCTCAAAGCAGGACCAATCCCCAATTTTTGCCCCAGGTCCCTAAATGGCCCCCTCAAGGATTGAACTCCCAACCCTGGGTTTAGCAGGCCAATGCTCAAACCACTGAGCTATCCCTCCCCCCGTCTAGGTAGACCAAGACCACAGACTCATTTCAGGCAAGCAACATGGGAAAGCTGTGAATTTCTGTTAACTTTTGGCCACTATGAACTTGTTTTAAACTTTGAGCCAAGTCCTAGAACTGAAAGGTTCAACATTCTATTACCAATTCCCAAGGAGTCAGGGGTGTGTGTGTGTGTATTTACATAATGGTGGACAAACTTATGATGGCCTCATTCTTTCCTCCCTTCCCTCCCTTTGCCTATCCACGAGCTATGAATCAATTTTCTAGTGTTTGTGAATGCTGTTTTATAACCCAAATTACGTCCTAACACTGTTCTGAAGCACACATGTACTACCTAAACACAAGCATTACTCTGTAAAGTACTTTGATTGGAGCAGTTTCTAGGACTTACTTGTGCTGGATCCACATCATTCAGCATAACGATTGATGTGCAATGATAGTCTAGGACCAGCCTCCAGAAATCTTTGACAGTATTTGGTAAAGGATGCTGGGTAACTATAAAAGCTGAGGGTTGCTTATAGCTCTGCAAAACAATAGCAACAGAAGATAAAATTAAAAGTGATAAGAGAAGAAATCCATCCAGCAAAATGTCAGTAATGGCCCCAAACCCTAGGAAAATAAGTATTATTGTTATTTTGAAGATTACTCACACAGTGTTTTCAGATCTTCCCTGAGATGCTTGCTTGTAATCTAATAAACTGTAATTTTACATCTGGAGACAATATGGCTTTAACAGATCATATTTTTAAAAAAATTTATGACATGGGCATACAGAAGGGGAAAAAAAGAGATTCTTGCTTCCAATGTACCACCCATAAAATCTTGAGAGGTAGATTTGTTCTGAGTTGTTGACAGACAGATGAATCTACGTTGACTGTACTTGATTGTTAATGTGAATGATTCCTGTGTAAGGTGATACCCAGTTATTGTTCCAAGAAATATTGCTCAAATCCTAGTCTAACTGGCAGCAAAGCAATATCTTTAGGGGGAAAAACAAGGTTCATTCTCTCTTTAAACACTGGCCCATGTCACTGACTGGAGGCACTGGGTGAACTTTCATCCACAACCCATGATTTAGAACCAGACGCTTCTTTGCTGCTGAAGGCCATAATGGAAGTACTTAGTCTGTTATCGGTCGAGGATTGTCAATATCTCCATTAAGAAGGGCATGTCTGCTTTGAAGGAAGCTTGTACACACCCGTATGCTCAGGAAATTATGTCTAAACACTGGCAATCTGGGTAGCTATTTGAATCTTCCTTTTTTGCTTGGGTAACTGAGACAGTTAATGACAAGTTTCAGAGTAGCAGCCGTGTTAGTCTGTATCCGCAAAAAGAACAGGAGTACTTGTGGCACCTTAGAGACTAACACATTTATTTGACCCAGCCATACACATACTGAATCTATTTCCCCATGTTAAGTATCCTCACACCTTCTTATCAACTGTCTAAATGGGCCATCTTGATTATCCTTACAAAAGTTTTTTCCTCCCGGTGATAATAGCTCATCTTAATTAATTAGCCTCTTACAGTTGGTATGGCTACTTCCACCTTTTCATGTTCTCTCTCTCTCTCTCTCTATCTTCTTACTGTATGTTCCATTCTATGCATCCGATGAAGTGAGCTGTAGCCCACAAAAGCTTATGCTCAAATAAATTTGTTAGTCTCTAAGGTGCCACAAGTACTCTTTTTCTTTTTGAGAAGGTTAATGGGGCAAGAGGACTCTCACAGAATCTAGCTTTTCATTCTGGTTACAGACTTGAATATGGTGCCAGATGTGCCCTTCTTCTTTCCTTTGGTCAGTAATCTCTCCTTAGCACTCGATAATCATTAGATATCCATGCTGTAACTATTAGATCAATCAGCTGCCTTCAATGATCATGAGAGGGTGCTGACTTGCCTGAAGTCATGTGCGGAACTGGGGACTGCTCTTGAATGGCTCCATTCCTTCCTGGCTGAAAGGTCCCAGAGGGCTGTATTGAGCAACTGCTCACCAAACTCACCCTTGTGTAGCGTGATGCACGATTCAAAATTTCACTCCCCTTATTCAAAGCATATACGGTGCCATCGGGGGAGTTAATGAGGATGCATAGGTTATGGTGCTTTAAGTGCATTGATGACACCCAGGTCTGCATTTCCATCTCAACCGATACAAGGGGAGGGGAGAGCAACTGAGCACCTGACCCACTGGTGGGTATAGACTGGGGTATGAGAAAGAGCAAACCACCTGCTCCTGGCCCCTAATGTAGGGACTATTCTGGGGACACGGCTGGAGCACACAGTGCACCAACGATTCTGGGGAAATGGATCAGCCCCCACATGGCCAGACCAGCCAGCACAGTTTATAAGAGTCCCAAGGCTGTTCTAAGATGTTTGCAGGGAGGTGGAGTCGCTGAACCAAGCATCAGCTGTCTCCAAGATTAGGAGGATGGAAAAGTGGCAGAAAGCCACCTAACTCCCCTGCCCTGGAGCACCAACCATGGCTCAGGTACACCTTAGGATCCAGCCCAACAATTTGATTTCAAAGGTAAATGGCTCATAATAAGATAAGTAGCTGCAAAAGCTAATACGAAGGAATCATCTTTTTTGATCAGTACTTATTTACAAAACAAAATAATATTGACCTCTCTATGATGGGATGCGGTATAATGGCAAGACAGCAGACATTATAATCTGAGATTTGTCACTGGCTTCCTGTGTGCCCCGGGACACTGTGTGAATCTAGACAAGCCATTTAAGCTTGTCTGTTTCCCTATTCATATAAACAAAGATAACAACACCTAGTTTTAAGCCTTATCTAACATGAATAAAATACTTTGAGATCTTGGATGGAAAGTCCTATATGAGTGCAAACTATTATTATTACTGAAGCTTTACTTTTCAGAAAGAATATTTCAAGTATGTTCATTCTTTCCTAAACACTATTTTCTCGTACGTGTGTGTGTCACAATTTTAATTACTCCAGTTCTAAAATGTCAGAGATATACTATAAATCTCTAGAGAGTGTAAAACACATTTAAGTGTCTTTTTACTGATATCCTATTAGCACTATTAAAATTACCATAACTGCATTTAAAATATTCATTTTTTCATCAGCTGAACAGGAAATGTTCACTCAGACAGATATAAATAGAACGACTGGAGTAATGTCTTGTGTGCTATCTGTGCTGACAGGCAATTATTTTTTCTGTTAATTACTGTGTAAATTAGAAGGAAAGGGATCTAAAATACTGCTGCAAACCCTATTATCCCATTTAGCTGCCTTGGTGACTTAATAGGTAACTCTTTTTCTCTTTAGGCCAGATGGTTAAAAATTCAAGAGCTAGCGAGAAATGCAGACATTTTTAATTTGTCAGTACTCCCTGACGGGCTTTCTCTGTGTGGTTTTGGAACCTTGGCTGAGACATAACATATGAGGGATCCTAAATGTACTCAGGGGTTTAAAGATTTTGTGTCATTTTTTGAAAGGGAAGTGGAAGGATTTGAGTGCTCTGGTGCTGACTATGCTTCCCAGGATTTTCCAGTGTGGAGTTTATTCCTGCTTTATTATTAATGATATAATGGGGCTTACATCCATCAGTGCGGCGTTAATGTAGTTACTGCTCTCCCCATCTATTGTTATGAGGAAAGGGAGGCATCTGTCTGGAGGCAGAACATCCATACAGCGATTTTTTTCATGATTACGGGGTAAAAGTGCTATACTGCAATCTTCTACACGCAGTGTTGGAGTCACCATGTTTAGAGTCTATGAAAAAGAATAAACAATACATGAGCAAGGTTAGCTCATCAGTGAACGAATCCTAAAATAGTTAAATAATAGAATTTCAAATCAATTTGGGATACAGTTTCAGAGGGAATTTACAAATGTAAAAAATCAAAAGAAAAACAAACAAATGAATGAACAGTTGGGTTCAAAAGCAAAAACCTTGGATTGCTGAACATGAGCACATATTAAGGAAGAACCTGAAAGATGGTTGCAGGGTTACCTGTATTCTGGCCAAAGGATCATGGAGGGAAACCACATAGGATTCAAACCTCTGTTTATGAGGAAAGAGAGAACTTTACAACTACTCTATTGGATATCTTTATTATTTCACATATTTCAACAGAAATTTGTGACATATTATTGCCCTGTTGTGTAGTTCTTCCCTCACAGGCCCGATCCAAACCCCAATGAAATCAATGGAGGGTCTCTGTTGACTTCAACAGGTATGGGAGGAGGAGCCATATTGCATGTATCCACGTTGTGCTGTCCATGACTTACCCTAAATTCTTCTTTGATCTGACTTGAGTTAGTCTGAGGATCCAGTTTATTCATTTCATAGTACACAGACCTAACTTGAGAAGCTGGAATAGAAGTATCTCCACAAAGACAGGCTTCCAGTATTGCGTCGTGGATAAATACGTACTGCTCCTGGTAAAGCAATCAACACAATTACTGACTTAGAGGGAGCACCTCTTAAGAATTAGTGCTCAAGTAAACAGTAAATAACCTATAAAGCTCACATTAACATCAATGTACACTGAGTAGAGCCTGCAGAGAGCAAAAGTAGTTAATGAAATATACTATTATATTCCACAGAAAAAGCTGTGGAAGGGTTGGGCCCAATCAGTTATGAAAAATAAGCCAACCAACCTGTACACACACACAAAAAAAAGTTTTTATAGTGGCCTCATCTTGCTTTTTTCTTTTTGCACAGCTCCACAGGCCTTCTGCTCATAAATGGGATCCAAAGTGGCGGATCTTAACTCTGACTAAACAATATCACCCAGACTATCTTTTTAAAAACATTTATCACCCTCAAAATCAGAAACCAGTAAGGTACCACCCATATGTTTGTTTGTATAAATATTGAATGGCTTTATTGTTCCTCACTGCACCATATGAAGTATTTTCCATGTATTGTGGCAGGTAGCGTATGTTATAAAGAGCAGTACTTTTACTGCAAATGATACAACAACAGTCAAAGAAAGATGCCCATACCTCAGTTTGCACCATGTTAACTCTTCGAGATCGAAGCTCCCTGACACAGTTGTATATATCTACGACACCTTCTCTTTCTGCCATATCTAGCATGATGTCAATGACAATGAAGCATCCGGTTCTACCAGCACCAGCACTAAAATAAAAGCACAGTCCACGCTGAATGAATTCTTAGAAAATATAAGGTTTTGAGCCTGATTCTGCAAGTGCTTCAGGTGTTGGATACTTACTGACATCAACAAGAATTCTGTGTATGGGGGTTTGCAGGGTCGATTTTGCCATTTTTTCTTATTACTTTATTATGAGTAGCTCCTATGGCTTCAATTACTTATGGAGTGATCACACAATGTAGGGTGGGGAAGAATTAGGCCCAGAGTCTTAGTGGGGAAACGGAAAGCAGACATTTTCATTCTGCTTACCTGCAGTGTACAACCAGTGGGCCGGCATTAGGTGGGCTCTTGGACTTCACCTGCCGTACAAATCCCAGCAGTCCTGTTGCATGGTATGGTACGCCATGGTCTGGCCAGCCTGTGAAGTGAAACTGCCTGATTTCTCGGATTTCATGAGCACCTCTCTGTCCAGAATCAAATAAAGAAGAAGAAGAAGAAGAAAAAAAATGTAGAAATGAAAATGGGGAAGAAATTAGGAGAGAGACTTTGTTTGAACATGAGTTTAACAACTGGGGCCTTGCTTAAAAAAACTACTGGAGTTCTTTAAAAGGCAAGATAAGGTGTGGATTTTCAACTGGATCCAAAACTTTAGCATAAAATAGGTTGGTTTAATACTAACTGTTCAGGTGCTTTTGAAAATCCCACTAAATGCCCACCTGCATCTTTAAGCACCTAAACAGCTTTAACAATTCACTCCTAAGGGAGTAAGTCAACAACAAAGCCAGGAACAGAAATCATGTGGCAAACTCCCATTGACTTCACTGACGTCAGGATTTCACCCTAGAACTTCTGATGTTCATTTCTCTCATTCCTTGTTCCCAGGTAAGCAAACCAGTAGTAGCAGCACCTGTGTGTGCTCCTCCAATCACAAAGGGAAGCACTGGAGATGGGAGAAGGCTCTTTACTTCCCCTCCACTGCTCAGCTAATCACCACTTAGCCCTTAGTAATTTAATACCTGTAGTACATGGATATGGTGACAAACTTACAGAGGGCCTACTGGAATTGTATTTGCCGAGAAACCAAATGCTACTGTCATTTACAATATCAACCTGTAGGGCATCTAGGTAAATAGATGGATTTTATTAAATCTATTTTTTCCTCTGTAAAATTGCAGCCCTGTTTATTTGTTAGTATAATATAGTCTTTTACAAACCTATACACCAGAGGCCACCATATACATTTCAAAAGCAAATAATATTATGACAGGTAGTGTCCAGCTTGGACAGATATAAAGGTTAGCTGTGGAATAAATATTGATGATTTTAATAACTGGTGTTCTGTGTTTCTTCTTCTTAAGGCTATATTTCTCTGTCTTGAACTGCTTTGCATATAAAAGGCCTAACTCTATTTGCATGGTAATGAAGTAGTATAAAGTTGTTGTTTAGCTTTATTAATAGTATGCAAGAACCAGGGCAGGGATTTCCAACACTTAGGAAATGTGTATCTTAAAGGGGCTGTTGGAAATAAGCAACGTGTCAGAGGGCCCATTCCTGTTCCCACTTATGCTAATAGCAAAACCTCAATTGTCTTCAATGGGAGTGGAAGCAGGATCAAGATGAGGGAGACAGAGATGTGGAAATTAAGGACAATGGATCATTTTGAGTGATTACCTAATGTTCACGTATGTTTGCAACAGGAACAAGCAATGGTTAGGAAAATATATCCAAATTGGAATGTGTTCTGTTTTAGGCTGTGTTCACTGGGAAAAAGATGTGATTTTTAAATTATGTTTAAACCGTAATGTAGACAAGGCAATTGATATGTTTACACACATTAATAGGGAGGCTGATGCCCTACCACCTAACGTGTTAAAATACAAATTGCCCTGTCTACGCAAGGATTTTAACATTTGTTAGTCAACATACCACCTAAATTGCACTTCCAAAATTTAAGTGTACATCCATTACACATGCAAAACCTCCATTTGCACACGCAGAATAGGTAGATGTACATGTAATTGCCTGTCTGCAAACACACTTACTTGTCTGGCAAGTGCAAATGACAATGTACCTTCAAAACGTGAGCTGTATACACCCATTGGATTCACACTTAAATATTTCAAGTGTAATTTTTGTCTACCATTTGTGCTAGATTTTGCATATAGCATATTGCTATAATGAGTTTTTTTATTGTATCTACAAAGACCCATTTTCATCTCTCTGTAGCCTCTCTACTGGGTTTTATACCCAAAACAGAATCACAACTGTGTGAATCATGAAAGCATATGCTCATCTTGGATAGACAATATTTTTCACCTTTTCCTTGAAATCAAAAGGATGAAAACTCTGTCATATTATAAACTGTCCCTAGACTGTTAATAATTTAGGCTTTGCTCCTGAAACACTTACTCAGCTGCTTACTCCTGCACAAATGAGTAGTCCCATTGACTAGTAGTTCCCGAAAAACTACTCATGTGCACAAAATTAAGCACATATGAAAGTGTTTGCAGGATCAGGGCCTAAGTCTCTTTAAGTTTTAAATTACACAGGAGCAGGATTACAACCACCACACCCTGACATTAACTAAACTGTCATTTCTTTTTAAAAAATGCATCAATCAACTCCTTCCCCAACAAATAAACTTCTTAGTTTTCTTTTAGAGGCATATAGCAAAAATGACCTGAATAACTAAGTGGGTCAGAAACATTTTATACAATCTAAATTCAGGAAAGAGGATATGGTGGAGGATATGGGTAGCCCTGACTGTTCAGCACAATAAGGAAAACTAAAAAAATAAATAACAGAGGGGGAAAAAACAAACACATTCCTTTCTGAACCACACAGAAGCTGCATTATCAGCTTATTGAAAAGCTGCCTATTGTTAAAAAACTAATGTCTAAATGAGGTATTTTCAAATGGAGAAATTTTTTTGAAATAAAATAGTTAGGATTGTTTATCCCTATCTGTTTCAATTCACTTATTCATGAGTTTTTGGTCATGAGTAACTGTAAAATCCTCCAAGTCTTTTTTCACAGTCCTGACTAAGAAGTGAAAAGCTAACTTCAAAGCATGACCTTCGAACTTGATGAATAGAAATCACCCAAACCACATTTTCTTCAAAGTCTAACCACCCCTTCTCATCTCTGTGTGTTAAAAAATATCTAAATAGTTGGAGACAACAGGTTTGAGTGAGCCGAGGAAAAAGTATTACTAACATTAGATTCCATTCGCTGGACTGGTGTATATTTAACAATTAGGCTGAAGAATGTAATAGGAAAAATTAATTGCTCATCTTTCTGGATCTGCCTTTGTCATGCATTGTGAGATCATGGACAAAATGCTCTAACACAAACTGAGATTAGATGATTCAGTAACTTAATGGGAACACCTTTAAAACATTGGTTTAAAGAAAATTGATGCCATAGCAAATAAGAATACATAGCTGAAAATGACTTAAGTTATTTGATATTCAAGACATACTAGTGAGTGAACAAAAATCATGGAACAACCAGGATGCATGCTAAATCTCAGCATTGAACCATGCTGCTTTTGTCACTGCTTCCAGCACACCTGTTGGTAGTTTTATACATTGTCTCTCTAGGCTGTAAACCACCTGAAACAACAACGTGATTTTAATACCTGTTAATTAAGTGACAACCCAATGAATGGCATTATTCAAATCAACTAAATGACGATACAATATGCCATTTGTAACTGTGCTTGTAAAGGACCTCCCCTGCTTAAAGTCTTGTTAAAAAAATTACTTCATTATAAAACAGTTCTGCTGTAGACCAGGAAATATATTGGACCAGTGGATTACAGCAGTTATAATCATGCTAGACGTCTGAATAATAGTAGTATATAAAAAGACTTATTTTTGACACAGACTGGCTTGATTGTGGTGAATAGAAGACAGGAAAACAACATCAATGTCCTGTTTAATTGATGGATGGGTCAGAGCCCTCTCCTCCTCTAGTGCCCCAAGGGAATGGAATTTCTGTTTCCATTTCAAGTCTGGGCCAGGGCAAGACAGAAAGGATCCGCATTTAAAGAAAAGTGAAAATCCAATCTTCCATAAGGGAGCACTGGAAGACTACCCAAAAGTAATTTGCTATGAAAAATGGGCTGCCTGTTACCCAGTGAAATCTAGGATCTTTTCAAAGTGACAAAATTACATGTCAGGTTTCAGAGGAGCAGCAGTGTTCGTCTATATTCAGGATAGGTTGTAGATCCTTGATGATGCGTTGGAGAGGTTTTAGTTGGGGGCTGAAGGTGATGGCTAGTGGTGTTCTGTTTTCTTCAAGGATCTATAACCTATCCTGAAGGACAACCCATCACTCTCACAGATCTTGGGAGACAGGCCAGTCCTTGCTTGCAGACAGCCCCCAACCTGAAGCAAATACTCACCAGCAACCACATACCCCACAACAGAACCACTAACCCAGGAACCTATCCTTGCAACAAAGCCCGTTGCCAACTGTGTCCACATATCTATTCAGGGGACACCATCATAGGGCCTAATCACATCAGCCACACTATCAGAGGCTCGTTCACCTGCACATCTACCAATGTGATATATGCCATCATGTGCCAGCAATGCCCCTCTGCCATGTACGTTGGCCAAACTGGACAGACTCTATGTAAAAGAATAAATGGACACAAATCAGACGTCAAGAATGATAACATTCAAAAACCAGTCGGAGAACACTTCAATCTCTTTGGTCACTCGATTACAGTCCTAAAAGTGGCAATTCTTCAACAAAAAAACTTGAAAACCAGATTCCAATGAGAGACTGCTGAATTGGAATTAATTTGCAAACTGGCTACAATTAACTTAGGCTTGAATAAAGACTGGGAGTGGATGGGTCATTACACAAAGTAAAACTATGTCCCCATGTTTATTTGCCCCTTTACCCCCCCACTGTTGCTCAGATGTTCTCGTCAACTGCTGGAAATGGCCCACCTTGATTATCACGACAAAAGGTTTTCCCCCCCACCCCCGCTCTCCTGCTGGTAATAGCTCACCTTAAGTGATCACTCTCGTTACAGCGTGTATGGTAACACCCATTGTTTCATGTTCTCTATGTATATAAATCTCCCCACTGTATTTTCCACTGAATGCATCCGATGAAGTGAGCTAATATAGCTCACGAAAGCTTATGCTCAAATAAATTTGTTAGTCTCTAAGGTGCCACAAGTACTCCTTTTCTTTTTGAAAATTACACGTATTTAACTTGTATGGGAAAACAACATCATATTTTGAAAATACAGTTTTCCAAACTTACCTTCTCTACTGCAAATGTTCGAATCACATATTCAGCCAGGAGCTCTGTTTCTATTAGGGTAACTTTAATGTCTTTATATATCTCTGTGTCATCTGGCCAGTATTTACAACATTTGACCTTTTAAAAATACAAAAGAAATTAAGGGTCATATTTTTCAGCATCTGAATCTGTTCTGTACCTTTTGCAGTGATTTACTATATCAAATTCAACCACACATAAAACAGTCAGGCTGCTTACACAAGGAAATGGTCCATGTATTTAAAGCAGCAGTGTAGCTCAGGGTAAACATGGGTAAATGGAGTTTGCCAACTTCTCATTTTGGGAATATAGTTTAGCTTGGTTAATTATCCCTACTTCTTCTTTTTCTTTTTAACCACTTTTTAATCACTTTAAACCGCTAATTTAAAGAACATACCTTTTTAAAAAGACAGTTTTGGGGCTCTAGGTGGGAATAATATTCAGTAAAATAAGGCAAATTTCTATGTAGCATGAAGGATGTTTATACTGTGCATAGCTCAGTTACAATAACCATTAATTTCTTGTTCTTTCCAAGTCAGGGAGTATACAGAGGGAAAAGCTACAAATAGAAGCTTGAATAAACTCAAGCTCCTCTGGATTTTTTCGTCCACCTGCAGTTGTTACTTGTTTCAAAAATATCTTGCATTCTTTTAAAATGACAGTTCACGCTGCAGACATAAGGGTTTGTCTAATGTTGGAAAGAAAAAGCATCTATTTTCCCAATTAGAATTAACTTCTCAAAAGAACTGGTCAGAGGTGGTCATATAGCTAAAGCACAGGACTGGGTGTCAGGAGATTCTATTCCTGGCTTTAACACTGACTCTCTGTGTGACTCTGAACAATCATTGACTTCAGTGGGCTTTAGGGAACTTGTCCCAGTGAAAGGAGAGAGGGGAGGTGGCTTGCATGAACTCTATTCAGGAGTTGGCGGGGTTTGGTGCGCCTTAGTGCAGCCTAGCACAACCTTCACAAAGTATGTAAAATTAAAATGTGAAGCATCTTTGTGCTAGTCACCTTTCGGGGGGGGGGGGGGGGAAGGAGAGTTGTGTATTTTGATGAAATGGTTACTCACCCTTACTCAACCCTGTAGTTCTTCGAGATATGTGCTCCCTACTAGGTGCGTTTATGCCTCCAGTGCCTTTGATCAGAGGTTTCTCATAGCAGTGTCTGTTCAGCCCATGCATGCGTGCTAGTCAGCCTCATGCCCCGTGCCATTGTTATATAGCACTGTGTTGGCAAACTGCCCTCAGTTCCTTGTCTACTGCAAAGCCCTATAGCAGAGAACTCCGAAACAGAGGGGAAGGAGGGTGGGTAGAGGAGCACCCATAGGGCAGGCATCTCAAAGAACTACAGTTACTGCACAGGGTGAGCAACCATTGTTTCTTCTTTGAGTAGTGTCCCTACAGGTGCCCCACTGCAGGTGATTACCGAGCAGTTTCCCTTTAAGGAGGAGGGAGCTTTGGAGTCAAGTCCAATAGGGAAGATAGTAGAGCTGGGCCAAACACAGCATCGAAAGCAGCATCACGAGTTACTGCGTAATGTTCAGCTAACATATGTATAGAAGCTAAAATAGCAGCTTTATATATTTCAATAATGGGCACGTTTTCAAGAAATGCCATACACGTGGAAATGGACCTTGTATAGTAAGTTCATATGTCCAAAAATGCTTGAATATTATGAGATTCGTAGCAAGACTGAATGCAGTCAGATACCCACTTGGAAAATCTTTGATTAGAAATTGCAGATCCTTTTGAACTATCCGTGGTTTGTAGTGCTGTTCTCACTACCAACTGGCCCTCTTGGATAATGGTTTGCGATTGCTCTTTTTGTGTATCTGGCAAGTGGTCAATAAAGGCATTGAGTTTGCCATAGTTCATATAGTCATATTTAGCCATTAGGGCTTGGTAGTTTGACTCTCTGAATTGTAAAGTCACAGAGAAGTATGCGTTTCACCTGAACGGGTCAAGCCTCTTACAATGTCTATCACAGGGGGTTGATTTGGTGTGATTTTGCTTTCCTTGGGTGTTAACAGCGTTCACTACTACAGAGTGGGGGGGAGGGTGCATGAAAAGAAAGTCTGCCTCCTTGGCGACCCTGTAAAACTTTTTGCCAGCCCTTTTATATATTGGTGGAATACAGACTGGCATCTGGTTGATGACCTTGGCAGGGTCTAAAAGTGCCTCACTGATTGGGAGGGCAATTCTCAAAGAGAAAGATGTGTGTACTATGTCCAGCAATTTATAGTGAGAGTCTTTCACCTCTTCCAGGGAAATTTGAAGAGCATCAGCCAACCTCCTAGTGAGATACTGGAAAAGCATGAACTCATCAGCTAATGATGGAGGAGGGGGCATCACTGCCTCATCCGGTGAGGAGGAGATGTTCATCAGTGGAGTGGTTTCCAACTGTAGTCTGGCCTTCTGCTCCTCAAAAGTGTCCTCCTGAGGGTCTGAGGTTCTGGATAGAGGCTGCAGAGGAATGTCTGGTGGGTACCCTGTGGGAGATACTAGAAGATCAAGAAGTATGGGGCTTGTAGGTTGCCCACAGATCCCAGTACAGCCCCTGGGGAAGGGGGCAGGGCATGGGTGTCCACACCAGGAAGAATGGGGATCGGAGCGTGGGAATAGCCGAGGAGGTCCCAGATGCTATAATGGTGGGTTGTGGTTTGAGACCAGAGAGAAACTGTTACCCTGATTACTGTCTGACTCCCTGCTGGAATTGGGTGGGGCCAACAGGGTCATTGGACACATGTACCCAGTGCTGATTGTGATTCTGGGGACTGAGATGTGCTTGGTACTGGAATTCTGTACTGAGTAGCAGGGACTCTGGTGCTCCACGATCGTAAGGCCCCCAGAGAAGCGGATTTCCTGCGATACTGTTGTTGTGCTTCGTACTGTCAGGGATTGTCAGTGCTGACTCATTGGCACCAACAGCTTATTTTATGGAAGGCATGTTCCAAAGAGGGCTGCTTTGAAGAGGTCGGTATGGGGGATGTTCTTGTGGGTGCCAATTTAGTAGAGATGGTACAGTCTCTATTCTTGTCTCTGGCAGGTGGTGCCACTGTCTCACAGCCTGTGCCCCTTGGGCCTTTAGGTATCGCAGCAGAGCTTGCACCTGGGGGTCCCTGTTTCTTTAGGGTACCGTGCCTTGGAGCCATCAGTGCTGAGGTGACCTAACACGCCGGGGTCTCCTCTGGCTGATCAGGATCTCTGTTTGAGGCCTTGAGACCCTTTTCCTGGAGGCTTTGTGGAGGGAATCAGACAACTTCCTCCATGATTCTCCCTTTCTGGAGTTTGATGACTCCAGGGATGATCTGCATCCTGGAGAGGACTCAGGACTGGGGCCAGATGCCGGTTTAAGAGAGCCTTCCATGAGGAGGAGTTTCAGCTTTAGCTCCTGGTTCTTTTGGTACCTAGCTTTCAGCTGTTGGCAGAAGGTGCATTTCTGCAGGATGTGTCCCTCTCTGAGATGTCAGATGCAGCAAGAGTGCCTGTTCATCATAGGGAGGCACCTTTTAAAGCTGGGGGAACCGGGCATGCCCCTCTGGGGGGGGAAGTCCCACAACAAAGGTGGGGAAAGGGGTCGAAAGAAAAAAAACTTTTTTTTTTTTTAAGAATTGAAGAACAGAAACTTTACAGGTACTACAAAAAAGAATGGAAACTCTAAGAACAATTATAAATTAACACTATCAAATATAAAGTAAATAAGTAAACTGGACTGCTAGTCATTCCATCTCAGCCCCAGGGGGGTTGAGAAGGAACTGAGGGCGGTTTGCTTGCCAGCGCTAGATACCCTTGAGGCAGACCAGGAGGGAGGGTGGGGGGTGGTCAGATACAGCTACAGTGGAGCACCCGTAGGAACACTACTCAAAGAAGAAGAAGCTAAATCTACTACTACTTACTAATTACACTAATACTAAGAACGTCTATAAACTAAATACTAGAATAAAGTTGAGATATCTCAACTTCCACAGCTCATTTTCAGCCTGAGGTATGAGTTGAGAAGGAACTGAGGGCGGTTCACCTGCACAGTGCTATATAACAACAGCACGGGGCACGAGGCTGAGTGACTAGCATGCATGCATGGACTGAACGGATGCTGCTATGAGAAATCTCCGATCAAAGGAGCAGGGGGCGGAAGTAGAGCATCCATAGGGACACTACTCAAAGAAGAAAAGGAGTACTTGTGGCACCTTAGAGACTAACCAATTTATTTGAGCATGAGCTTTCGTGAGCTACAGCTCACTTCATCAGATGTATACCGTGGAAACAGTATACATCTGATGAAGTGAGCTGTAGCTCACGAAAGCTCATGCTCAAATAAATTGGTTAGTCTCTAAGGTGCCACAAGTACTCCTTTTCTTTTTGCAAATACAGACTAACACGGCTGTTCCTCTGAAACCTACTCAAAGAAGAAACATGTAGCTGTAAATACTGAAAAACTGTCCCTTCTCCAATTTTTGTCAGTGAGATGGTTGGTGAGGAACATTACACATTGATTAGTTATATATTTAACTTCTGTTCTTCTCTTGTCAGGTTCTTATCTCACAACCATCACTTTTGTATCTGGGCATGTTCCAGTAGTGCATTAAATGATAGGACCAGCATCTATTATGTATCTGTTACACATGATGTTTCTCCCTTCCTCTCACCAAGGGGAAATTAAATGTTAATCTTCTAATATATGCAAGTATGTAGTTTTGCATAAATATACAATTCTTGATTGGCTGCATACAAAAGTAACTGCACATTTTACACTGGAAATGAATAGAACAGGAATAAAAATAGGCACTATATTTAGTCTCATTCTTCACTAGAGAAATGTATCTAAATATCTGTTGCCAGTGATGAACACACACCATTTAAAATGTTAAAAATAGCTGCATGCAGTTCATAGTGCTGGTACTCCTATTCTACTGTCTATAATTCTTTTAAAAAATTCCACATAGAAGATTTTCCGAAAGCCCTGAAGTTAGGAAAAGGGAAGCCATAAGAAACATATTGGAGGTTCATTGTTTATCTGTCTGTCTGTTCTATTTGATAATCCAGGCCACTGGTTTTGTTCAAATCCCTGACTCAAACTGAGTAAACCTTTACATTTGT